AAAAAAAAAGGTTATATTTATATTTAAATTATTTTTAAAAGCACAAAATCATCACTCCTTTTCAAACTACGAAGTTTAAACAAAGAACCGGCCGACAGTGAGAAATATATGAAGTAACTACTTTCTAAAAACAAGGCCTTGGGTTTAAAGTCTATAAAGTTAGATATTTTTGTGAAGATTGTCTATGAAAAGAAACATATATATTACTTTCTCCAAAAGTGGGTCAAAAATGAGGTCTAAAAAACTGGAGTTAATACATACTGATATATGTGGTTCTTCTATGGTTCAATCTATTGAAGGTTCGTACAATTGTTTTCATTTTCATTGATGATCACACCAAAAATATATGAGTATATTTCTTAAAGTATAAAAATCTGATGTATTTGATGTATTTAAAAAGTAGAAGAGCATAATTGAGCATGTGACGAGTTTGAGGTTGAAGTGTCTCAGATAAGATAATAGCGGCAAGTATCATGATTAGAGACTCAGGAGTTATTGTGCTTCAGATGGAACCACACATAATTTTAGTGTTCCAAGGACACCACAACTGAATGGTGTGAATAGAACCATCACAGAGCATGCCAGAAGTAGGGGGTTGCAAGCATGTTCGCCAAAACAGTTCTGGACAACAGCAGTTAACACTAGATTTTTTCTGATCAATCGTGGTTTGTCAGTACCTTTGAATGAAAATTTACCCGATGAAAATTTACCCGACAAGAAGGCAAAATCTATCTCATTTGAGAAAATTTGGGTGTTCGACATATGTTCATGTTGATGCATGATCAAGAAGTAAGCTTGATTCGAAATCTATCAAGTGCACTTTCATTAGGCACGACTCAAATAGAATTGGGTATAAATTCTGGAATTATGAGAATCAAAAGTTTATCAGGAGTAGGAATATGACTTTTGATGAAATGAACAAGTATAAGAACGAGTAGAACTCAAAATTGCAAATCAATTACTTCTGAAGAGTTCTCCAATTTGTTGAGAGTTTGAGATAAAGAATTTAGGTCCAAACAAGAAGATCCATAGTATGAAAATCAACAAGGATAGTTGTGCATGTACTTTGAATTTGTCTCAAATAAAATATGTTAAGAAAATCCTATAAAGATGCAACACGACTGAGGCAAAGTTAATTCGCACCCCTTTATATAGTCATTTCAAACTATCTAAAATAACTATATCCTAGGTCTGAAATAGAGCAAATAAAGATTAAGAAAAAAACTCCTATGTTTCAACAGTTGAAGGTTTGATGTATTTGATGATCAGCTAAAGTATCACTTCATTCATTCTCTTCTATAAGATGAAACAATTAATCTTGGAGAAGATACAACTAAAAATCCTGCAGATAAATTGACTAAAGTTGTTACAATTTAGAAATTGAAGCTATGTTTGACTTCAGTTGGAGTTTAGAAAAGTTGAAACCGGAGGTGAGCCACACTACAATACATGACTATTAAAGTGACAGATTTGGAGGTGTAAGATTGGTTGCAATTAGTCTCCAAGTTGGAGATTGTTATTGTATTGTTCAAAGCACACTCATTGATTTGAAGCAACAATGGAAGGGGCTCAGAAGAAGCACTGGAAGAGACTCAAGTGGGTTGAAGTTGGGCACTCCAGTGCTCGGCCCCAGTGCTAGTGGGGTGCCTAAGCGCCTAGCGAAATGCTCCAGGACCCGAGCGTGTGGAAAAGCAGCGCCTAGGAGCACATTTTCAGCTTTTCAAAAACAGAGTGCCCGAATAGTCGGCTTTCTGGACGGGCAATCCAGTGCCCAGAAGAACGACTCCAGGACCCTAGCGCATGGAAAGGTAGTGCCTGTGATGGACACGATAGCGTACCCGCACCCAAGCGTTAGAAAACCCAACTCTCAGAAGCGGCAACCTGCCGCCTGTAACTGATTTATGTAGTTCGAGCTTTAAGTCTCGGGTTCTTCAATGCCGGAGAGATGAGCAGAATAAAGTGAAGCCGTGTCTGCGTATTGTGGGTGGATTCTTGCAATTACTCCTGTGTGATAGAGAGAGAAGGAACATTTGTGGGTTCCAAGATTGTAAAGAGGATTTGAGTGTGGTGTAATCTATATATTTTTTCTCATTTCATAGTAAATTTCTTGGCGAAGTATGGCTCTGTGGTCTTTTCTTGTTCTAAGGTTTTTTCACGTTAAATCGTGGTGTTCATTTCTGGGATTTCTTATTTGTATGCTTTTGTTCAATTTGTTTGTTCCAGATCTCTTGAATCCGTATTTTTTTGCAAGTTTTGGGAAGTTTAAATCCTCCCAATATGGCATTCTAGATTGTTTGGGTTAATTATTATACTTGTTCATTTGATGTATGATCAAGTTCCCGTGCCTTATCCTTCGTATAGGTGAATTTTGTGTTGATTGGGCTTTATATATTTTATGCCCAGATGTTTCCTTTTCTTTGTTCATTAAATTTGGATCACATCCCTCCACACGCCCCACCCCAAAACACCCACCCTAAGCATACGCCCTAACAAATGAAAAACCTTACAAAAGTCAGAACTCGTAAAACCAAAGCTTTAATACAGCAAACCCGCTGAAATTCTCATATTGGCAGGAGCCTCATTTACCAGATATGCCCATTTTTATCTACTGAAAGTTGTAATTACCATGATTAAATGACAACATATTAATTAAATGACAACATACTGCAAAACATACCTGAAGTGAGCAACAAGTCGCCAGTTCATTTGGGAGCTCGGTAATTGAATTTCTTGAAAGATCAACTTTCACCACCTCATCCGTCTCCCAGACAGTAGATGGGATGCTGGTCAATCCAAGTCCACATAAGAATAGTTCCTGAATTGTTAAAAAACATATTCTAATCTTTCCACAGAGAATTATCTCCAAGTAAGAACAAAAAAAAGATAATGGAAATCATGAATTCTAAAATCTGGTGAACCTAAGTTAAGAAAATTAACAAGAAAATAAAATAGAAACAAAGCAAACACCTTTGATGACAGAGACAACCTAGTTGCCTTGGCAATAACATCAGCATTCATAGGACTGCTGCTTGATCCGGAGGCTATATGAAAACATTAATCAACAGACAAAATCTTTATGGCCATGTTAAATGAGAAGGAAGTTTCATTTAGATTCCTGTTTGAGTATTTTAATTATAAATGAAAGATTTCTTCAGAAGCAGGTAACTAAAATAAAACAGTCCCTCTAAAAGCGACTTCACCTTCTCCAGTAGAAGAAAGTCGACTTCTTAAATACTTCAATAATGCCTGTGTAGGTCCAGAAACCAAAGAACTGAAAAGAAAGAAATGGTACAATGCTAGGTCGAGCATTATGTCAAAGAAAACTATTCAATCAATAAACAAGAAGAAAATTTTCTCACCTACGAATTGTTCGTATAGGGTTTCCACTAAGCAGGAGTTTTCTCAGGGAAGACATGGTACCTGAAAAAAGCATTAGCAAATAAAAAAAAAATGCAGAATGGAAAATTAAATATGAAATTTGAGATTAATGCTAATGAATTCAAGAATAGAATTAATCAGAGACTGCAAACTTCATTCTAGAGCTGTTAAATTAAGTATATAACTGAATTTGCATAAAATCCATATTTCTATAGGTCTGTAATCATAAGTCCATTTGAAATTGTTACAAGATTTCAACCAAAAAAAGCTAATAGACTGTTGATCTTTCTATTGAGTCAAGATCTAATGAATTTACATAGTTATTTGCCCAAACATAGATGACTTACATGAAGACTGATACTGGAGTTACCCCAAATCACGATAAAAATGAAATTATTATTTGCTGAAATTCAAAAGATTATAAGGAAGACTTGTCAAAACAGGAAATAAACAACAAACAAACACAAACAACACCATAAGACGAGAACGAGGATGGAGGTTGGCGGCTAGACAGCAGAGGGGAGGGCTAGTTGGGGCTTGCGGCAATAACGGGTTGTGCTGGAGGGAGTTATGACAGTTGTGGGATGGATTGGATGGGGTTACGATGCAATGAGGGATGGTTGGATAGTAACCTATAGCTGGTTGGTTGTAGCAGGCGTGAGGGAGTGGATCAACGACAATATTGCGAGAAGGGTGAACAAGAGGGGTTGGGTGCAGGTAAGGCACAACAGTAGAGAGTGAACCTGGACGTGGCGATTAAGAGTAGAGGAAGTGCGGGTAAGTTAGCAGCGGTAGGGAGGAAGGTTTGGCAGCTAGAACCACGGAAAGGGGCGGGGATGTTGGGGAAGATAAGTATCCTCGCGAGATTGACTTATAGCTGGAGCACCCCTCGAACCTTTGGAGAAGATCAACACCTCGGACAAGTTACAGTCGGAGCTCGTCGCCTTCAGATACAGTCCTAGAAGAGAAAACAACCGCCAACAACAAGCTGGACAAAATTATGAAATCAGAAAGATAAAAACTAAACCCTAAGACAGGCAACACACATATTTAAAATAGATATATAGGTGGGAAAACATAAAAGGAATGAGGAATAATTCCCGCCCAATGAAAGAGGGAGGTGGGGGCCGGTCCAGCCTCCTGCTAAATGGAGGGTCTTTGGCTGAAATCAGTGTCGGTTCAGTCAAGTTAGGCCTCCCCTAAGTCCCCCGCCTCAGTCTCCCGGGGTTGGGGGAGCGCTTCAACTTTATTCATCAAAGCTTCTGGTTCTTCGTCTTCAATCCTAAAAGCACCTAAATTCCACTGTTGGTTATACTGCCTTCCAAAGCACCTAAAGATTTTCCTCCACTTGTGAGCATACAACCTTATCGATCCGCTCTCCTGGGTGTCCATTGTTGAACTGAACTGAGTCTGCATGTCTCGTCTATGTTGTTGAATACTCTCAAAGTAATCCATCGACAGCTCAACTTGATCCGAAGTAAGGGTAATATGTACCTCCCAGAATGGTGGTGGCCTGGTGGTAAAGTATTGACCATGATATCCTGAAATGTTATCTGTCATGCATGTTCCGTGTCCAAAGCTGGTGTCTCAGTCTTATCATTCTCTGTCGTCACCAATATTGATCACACTGATGTTCTATTGGCAAGGGCACTTGTGATCTCAGGCTCCGTCGAAGAGAGAAGAATGATGCTCTTCCAATCCTTAGTGAAGGAGTAGGTGTTTTTGAATCCGTCATGCTAAGTTCTACGGTTAAACCATCACGACCTCCCCAATAACAAGTGGCAGACATACATGGGTACCACGTCACACCACACCCGATCTTGCAAGTGGCTCCTGATCAAAATTTCACTAGGCACCTCTGGTCAATGCTGATCATATTCTTATCTTTCAGCCACGTCAGAGAATATGGTTGGGAGTGCCCCCGAGGCATGAAGCCCAACTTTTCCAACATCTGTGTAAATGCCACATTCTTACTGCTATCTCTATCAACTAATGAGACCGCATACCTTCCTGTTCACGGTGCAACGAGTGTAGAATATATTTTGGCAAAGCCGCTGCGAATCTCTTGTATCCTCGCTCTGTAGGGCCTATCGAATCACGAGTGCCTCTCCTTCATCTGGTGGACGATAATACACATTTAAGTTGGCCACGGCTAATAGAGGGCTCCATGCCCTTTCAAAAGTGCTTTATAATACACAACTCACTGGTTTAGCAGCAAGGAACCTAAATTTTTGGACCATAACCATAATATAATGGCAATATCTCAATAATGTTAAACATCTGGGGCAAAGGGTGTGTGTCACATCTTTACTGGTATGAGTTATCTAAGGGTGACCATATGGACAGACTTGATATATTATTAGTTAACTGCTATCTTTTGTCAAACTTAGAAATATCATTCTTGGCTCGAATTTGGTGTGTGTGTATAATGGGAGAATTTATTATAATGAAATATCCTCCAATTATAATTTCAATTTGATTATGGCTATCATTAGAAAAAAAAAATTTAAGTGTCTCTTGATTGAGAGCATTTTTTACCATGAACCCCTCTGATTATGATTTGCAATAACTACGCTCATCATAACGGAGAAGGCTAATAGTAATTTTCCTTGTAACTGAGAGCTTGATTTAGATGATAGACCCTTGTAATTATGCAATTATGTTAACTAAAACCATCACCATGATCAAAATTAGGGTGTTAAGGTGGAAACCGTATAAAATTGATATCTTTGATCCAATGACAGACTTATTAAACCAGCAAAAAAGTTATATAAAGTGTAGTGTTATTGAGGTTTGTAAAACTGAATAAACATTGGAACACCAAATCTGCCATCTGATGTGTTAAATAGGGGCCTACCTTGCACGATTGTCGTTCGTCTTATAGTCAAGGAAGGAAATAAGTAGCTTTGAAAATTCAACCATTTGTATCCACTCGATCATAGTCTAGTGATTTGGCCATTATTTCAATATTTTTTAATACTTGGCATGCTAAAACTTCATGAACTTAGAAATGTCATTCATAGCAAACTAGCATGGATGATGGATAGATCTTAGCCTTATCGAGAAATATTGGGTTGGGATATAGACCTATAAACTCTACTACCCTTTGCATGCAAAGAGTTTGACCAAAGTCGGTTATCATGTTATAGCCCTCATTTACTAAACTCTTGTGCATAGAGATCAACTTTTAAAGTGGGGCCTAAATTACACCAAGTGAGAAGAAGAAAACTTATAAATTATCACCATGCACTATAACTAAGGGGAACCTCTTATAAGTTTATTTAATTTTATATGATAATTAGCGTGTTAGGTGTTATGTTGCCTTTGCTTGTTTACTTGCAAACTTGGGTTGAAATTGATCTAAAAGTGTATAGCGTTTGAATTCAATTTTTTAATACTAATAAATGATGTGAATAGCATTAAAACTATGGCTTGCTTAAAGAAGATTTTAGGAAGGCTCAAGTGGTGAGACTCACAATTTTACCCAATAGGTAAGCTAACAAATTTTGCATGTTTATATCTATTTTTATATTGTAATGATCATGTAAGGGGCGTTGTCGACTTTGCTTCTTTTTTTTTAATTGATATGGATCAGTCCAGAAAGGGAAGCTAAAAAATTAAAATAAACCACAATTTAGGGATTAAAATATTGCCAAAAAACTGAAGTTTAGGATTTACAATCTTGCCTTAGAAATAAGACAATCTATAATTTTTATTTTATTTTATTTTATTTTTTTAAGAGTTCTCATCATAAAAGAACTTGAAGGCCTTATGCAAATACATTGCCAAAGATCTTAGCGAAAAGAAAAGGCTAATTCAACTTAGGCAAGAGAACTGTAATCACACTCTTATAGTTTAGACAATTTTAAAAACATATGCCCTATTGATTCCAACCTAACGGTGTGATGAGCAAAACCGACTCAAGCTCAGTTCGGTCAATGGCATGTGAGCTCACCTCATAGAGCAAAAGAACCAAACCTGAGCCACCTTCAACTCAACTTGTTAGCTAATAAGCTAATTTGTTTAAATAATATTAATATACATACAATTAAAATATATTAAATTCAAGAGTTTAAGTACAAATTTAACAAAAAACACTTAAAAATTATTCTTTTTTATTTCAACTAAATAATATGCTCAAATTTCTCATTCTTTTTATTACATTATTATAAACACTTAAATTAGAATCATCTTCTAATTCACAAGCTGACTTGAACTCAAAGAATTGAGCTCAAATTCAAAGCTCAAGTTCGAATTGGCTCGAGCTTGGCTTGACTCATCAACACCTCTAACTACAACCCTAAAAAATAGAGGACCAAGCTTTAGTGAACTCAAATTTGGTATGTATAGCTTCTTCCGCCTCATTTAAAATTTAATGTATTTACATGATTTGTATTGGGTATAAAATTGAGGAATTGCGCATTTAATATAGCCCTGAAAAAGTTCGAACATTAAACATGGCTCCTAAAATTATCTTGGAATGCTCTTAAATTCTAAAATTTTTGTTAATTTTTTGTTTCCCTGCTTCTTTTGTGTAGTTGTATTTATTTTTTTCATTTTCACAATGACAATCTATTTTTTTCACTTATGAGACTTACATTTTATTTGCCTGAATTTGTTTATTTTTCTCAGAACATGTCTTCACATTTTCTATGCTTTACAAAATACCAAGTACCTCATTTCAGGTTTCTGACTTGAGCTCTATGTGCAACAATTTAAAATCATTCAGGACTAATGTGGGTAGTAGGAAGAGAAGTTCACGTCTTTCTAAGTGGGTGTTTGACGCACTTTATGAAGAAACTTGTTTTGCATTAAAAGTTACACTGAAAATCATGCAAATCATGCATGCCTTTTTGCAGTTAGATTCAAGTATAAAGTTTCATCTACTCATTAATAATGATGATTTCACTGAAACAAATGCAACTATGTTTTATTATTTGTTTCTCACAGTATCATTTTCTCATTCCAGTCACATGTGGGCTCCAATTTTTTTATTGTTTAAATTAAAATTAGGGTTTTTTTGCTTGGGAATTACTTATAAGGTTTTGTCATTTTGCAGACTATTTGTTTGATTTCTGTTATTTAGAGAAGTTTTATCCCTGTTTTCTCTATAAGAGTGTTGTATCATTTGATTTCCCTTTGATGGTGTGGCTATAACGAATTGATGTAGTGATCTCTCCCGGACGTCTGAAGGCCTCTTTTGTCACCGACGAACTGCTTTTTTTTTTCCATCTTGCTGCTCAACCCCCGCGATGTCAATTCTGTTACTGGTTTTTTTTATAGTGAGCCTTAATCATTGTTTGATTTTTGGTGGCTTAAAATTTTCCATTGAATTTCTATGTTTTAATTGATCATTAACTTATCATGAAGTGTGAATTTTCATAGTTTGCAAAGTTAAATCAAGGTTAGTAAATAATAGCTTAATCAATGATCATTTGAACAATAAATTTTTAATCCGAGTTATGAATTTTCAAACATCACAACATCTAATTCCTTGGCAAGCTTGCGTCTCAGTAGGAATAAAAAAATTTTTAAAAAAATTTTGCGTTTCAGAAAATACTTAAGTGCTTCAGTGGCAAGCCAGGTAGTTTTAGGGACTACCAGAGACTGGACCTCCGGCTTTGTGTGTACTAAAAAGAAGGATTACTTGTATTGATGTATGCAACCGTAATTATACATTTATATCAAGCATGTAATAAAACTAGTTCAGAAATATCATAATACTTCAATTCAGGAAAAAGACGACTCCTGAAGTCAGCTATTCATGTTCAACCAGTCAGAAATTCAAGGGGTAACATTTTAACCAGAAATTCTAAAGATAAAGATTTAGGAAAACAATAAGCAAAGTTTTGGGCTTCCATAAAGTGTATAAGTGATCTGCACAATGACAACTTTACTTCAGTGCCAAACGCCGCCTTGACATGTTTCTCATGAGTGAACATCAACAGCTAAAGCCAATGTGAACTAGGCCGTCGAGTTCGCAAGTATATTTACTTAAAATATATGTAGAAGTGCAGAGAAATGCCCTTCTACAGAACATTAATGATCACGTCTAGTCAGATTACATGTATTCAAATAATAAGGTGCAACCGAATGCCGTCTCTAACATTGGATTTTGAATCACTTGCCGGGAAGAAGAAGCTTTACACAAGTCATTTTTAAAATTTCAAATACTGGAGTGGATTACCATCAGTTTAATCATCAACGCCGTGATGAAATTAGATGACCGAGAGGTTTCTCAAAATAAAAATTATGAAGGTATCCTACTTAATGCTTTTCAGAATGAAAATCTTGTTGCCATGCACATAATAAGGAAATTTACAATAGGCGTATCCTAACCTTACCAATCTCTGGAGGCAAACTGGATAACGAATTATTGGAAAGATCAAGAACAGAAAGCTGTAATTTGCAGGCTTCCTCAGGAAACTCCTTCAACTGAAAATTTAATAAAATAACCAATCACCAACTTGTAAATATTTTCAAGTAGCAAATACACAGAATGTAAGGAAAAAATAAAAAGTAAACACAACCATAGTACAACGATATTATCCAAGTATTTAAATTTGTTTATATAATTAAGAAAATCCAATTTTAAAAGGCATTTTTGATGTGATATTATGTAATTGAAAGTCTAGAAGATAAACATTCAAAAAGAGGTAAGCTCAATTCGGCTACTTATTCTTTTTATAGAGATAAGATTAGATCTTAAACAAGTAAAAGAAAATAATTGTAACAATATGTTCATCAAGATCATTAACGACGTCATCTGCAATGGTAGAAGAAAAAAAAGTTGAATCTATGATTCAGATACCTTTCAAGCACAAGTGAGCGTGCACACATACACATGTGACCGCCTCCAAGTAAATTTTAAAGAGGATACGCCACTAAAAAAACAAAGTAATAATAAATCATGATCATTCAAATAGCTTTCTATCATTCCCGAGCAACAAGGGTAGGGCAAAGCCATGGTACTCAGATGATAACAACTATTAGATCACCCTACAAGATGTGGGGACCAACCATCAAATCCATAAAATTAAGCACCAATAAAGCAATTCAATTCAAATCACACCCAGCAGCAATCTTATAGTTATCCTAGAACCTGATTTTGATCTTCAGCGATAATTGATTTTGATCTTCAGCAAAACACCTCAAATTATATGGGTTTCACCCTTTACTCCATGACTTCAATCAAGCATGAATCTCAAAGATGATATGCAATTATTTAACCCTCTTGTTGGAAGGAGAATGAAAAAATCTCCCATCGAGAAGCATTGCTACAAAACAAGGATTTCAAAAGCTAAGTGTCTCCTCCATTTACCATCTTACAAGAGGTACTAAAATACCTTTCTACTTCACTCTAAAAATATCCCT